TGCTAGAAATCTGAAAATATTTTAGTCGAAGAGAACGCAATTGATAATACTTAAGTCTGAATTTTCAAATTTTTATTTGGCCAGAACCCGAGAAACGTCTAATGATCCGTCTCGATGAAACACCTGTATACAGGATGTATCTGAATGACTGCAACAAACTTCAAGGGGTGATTCTTTAGTGAAATTTAAGGGTACTTTGATATATGAACCATGGGCGACTAGGCTCCCCTAGGAGCTACACCCCTCCAAAAATGGCGAAAATGTTTAATTTTTTTTCTCAAAAACCATAAAAGCTAGGAAAATGAAATTTTGGGAATATGTTTAACTAATTTAATAGAGCACGTTTTGATCCGATTTGTACTTTCAAACTACCCTTCTAAATTACTAATCATGACTACCCCCGTTCAATTTTTGCCTAGATTTTGTTGTGAAGGTGATAAATACATTGGAATTATTATTTGATTTAGATAGATGAAAATATTCTATAACTTTTTTGCCCGTTTGATGTTCTTCGAAAATTTAATAATTTCCGAGAGAAAAATTAATTAACCCTAGGATGCATAAACCGGGCCTCTCAGGCCCGGCGAGCATTTAGTTACTATGGTTATTTTATTGGTTAAGTATCGTAGGGTTAAACAAACACTAACTGTTTGCTGTAGGGTTGTTAATCGAAAGTTGGAATGAATTTTGATTGAAAAAATCGTACACAGTAAAAAATGGATGTAAAAATACATTATACTACATTAAACTACAAGATTGACTTATGAAATAATACATAAATTAACAACGTAATTTTCGAAATCCAGTTAATACCAAGTAAAATGACAGGAAATTAGTATATTTACAAAATATTACATTTTTTTAATATGAATTACACAAAGCATTGTAAACTATAGGAAAAACCTGTAAATAAATGGAAAATCAAGTAAAACAATGTAAATGTATTTAATAAATTGGGAAATCATGTAATATTGTTAAAAATTACTATTACGAACATGTAAAATACGGGATGGCCCCACCACCACTTTCTGCGTTCAGTCGGTCGAATAGCGTTGCAACTACGCACAACGCGTTGACATCATTGTGCCGAGTACAGTCTAATAACGTATGAATCGTCGAACGTTATACGCGCTCTCTTATAATAATAATAATAATAAACCACTTTAATCTGTCCATTTAGTGTTTGGTTGTTTGGTGCCCTTTAGTACGTATACAGGTTGTACACAAAGTTTTTGTGTTCCAAGTTTGCCGTCTGTTAAAATTGTAAAAGTTTACACTTTTTCCACTATTCTTTTAATGCTTTTGTACTGTAAAACATTATAACAATTGTGGAAAAACTATTGGCTTTCATAATTTGGACATAAAACGAATTTGGATATGTAGAACTTCCATAATGACATTCGTATTTTTACATTTATTTAAGCTTAAAATTATGTAAATGTACAGGGCTGAATAATGAATTATTACATAGCAGACGAACTACAATATTCATAGCACAAGTAATTTTACATATAAATATAGTCATTTTTACGTGTTAATACGTGTACATTACCTGGGTTAAGAAGTAAAATTACATCAATCACAAACGAAAAGTACAAACATAGAAATGGAAAATGCGCTTGTTTAGATATGTATTTATTTTGCTATTACATACGTGTAACTTTTTACATGAATATCCATGGCAATAAATTACCAGTACTGGACCATGTAATTATTTTTTACTGTGCACGGAACGCGGCATTTACCGAATAGTAATTAGTTCATTAGTTAATAATAAAATAAATCTAAAACCATTATTTGCAGAACCCGTAATATGTAAGACTCATAACTAACAATCATTCTCTGAATCAGTTAAAATGAATTGTAACGGTTCCGTTTGAGGTTATTGAATTTCTTAGATTTCGTTCTTTAAATCATTATTTTTCGTATTCATATTCTAATAGTTCGCGCTTTTTTAGTGGAGTTGTTGCGTGCTTCTTTTTGATTGGTCGGATGAATGCGGAACGTTAAATTTCCGGTCGCGATCTGGGAGAGACGAGAAAAGGTCGTGGTCTCGACTATACTACTGTTCTGTGGGTCTCGAGAACTTGTCTCACTGTCGTTAGTGGTTCAGTTAAATTTTAGAATGGTTTAGTCCTTTTGAAGAATCAATCATTGAGTTTGGTTGTTACTGGGATTGTTCTTCGACCATTTGATGGGATTTGAACTGGATCGCGTACGTTAACAGCGACGCCATCATCGTTTCCACGAAGGTTATTTTATTGGAGGCGTTTACGGTAGTTTTGGTCCTCCGTGAAATGTCTTAATCGTGTTGAACCATTATCAACCCACCAATCGACGAGATCATCTTCCCCTTGGTAAAGAATTTTAGTGGAAGAATTTTTAGAACGTCATCTTGAAACTGCGCCATCGAAGGTCGTTTGAAAGTCATTTGAAATCTGTTGATGACAGATTTGGGTCATCCATAACCTCAATATTTTGGTACCTTTGTTATCTGTTTGGAGAAGATTATTCTGAATTGGATTGGAATTGGAACCGTGGAATACTGTTTGGGCCCGTAGAAGATTAAGGCTAAGTTGTATTTTTTTGTTTTATGTGAATATCAACTTTATTATTTTTTTGTATAAAATCTGAATTTTGATCAGAGAAGTTAGAGTTACTCAACTTCTAAAATCTGATATACCGATTGGTAACTTTAATTTTAGGAGATACACCCAATACGGACGTACTTACGTATAAGTATACTTGTGTGTGTGCATATGCGCGCGGAGTATGTTTGTGGGAGGGGAATTGCAAGAGTAGTGGATCGGAGAGCAGTCAGTCGTTTGACATCGTTCAATGATAAGAAATATTATAAAAATAATAACTAATATAATAAATGAAATTCAAATAAGACAAAGCAAATTCTTAATTCTAAAAATAAAAACAATTCGTAAGTAACTGAAATAAACTTTGTAAAACAACAAATAAAACAAAATCTAGGCGGCCAAGTTAACGTTCCGCAAATAGATATTACACGATTTGGAAATTGTGCGTTAAGATACTCTTTAACTTGCCGGCTGTTGTGAGCCGGGCAACCATCTTGTTGGAACCAGATACTTCCAAATTGAACATTGTCTAATTGTTGAAGCGATGGGATTACGTCATTTTGCAAAATGTTTAAATACTTATGACCATTTAAATTTCCTTCTATGAAAAAAGGACCGATAATATGGTCACCTACTAAGCCAGCCCAAACATTTAATTTTTGGGGATATTGTGTACGAGCCGCATAAACTTTGTGTTCATTGTCACGACTCCAATATCGAGCAACGCTGGGATTATGCCGACCATGCAAAGGAAATGTAGATTCATCGGTAAATAAAATGTTTTTTATAAAATCAACATTTCCGTTGGCCATTTCCATCATAGTAAAGCAAAATTCCGCCCTTGTAATATTATCGTTCTCGCAGAGTTCCTGACTTTTTTGTACCTTGTACGACCTGTACCCGTGTTTCTTTAATGTTTTTAGGACGGCAACATGGCTGATAGCAAACGTCTCCGCAACTTGTCTGCTTGACTGATTTTTATTGCGTTCAACATCAGCACATATCATCGTATCACGTAACTCATCTCTTTTACCCCTTCGTAATTTGTGTTTCTGTGGAGACACACATCCATGTCGCTCAAAGTTTTTAATAATATTTGAAATTGTTCCGCGACTAGGAATTGATCTGTTTTCATAGGCCACAGGAAACAAATTAATTATTTGGGCTACAGAATTGCCACCATAAAACCATTTTATAATCTGTACCTTTTCCGCTACAGTAAACAACATCTTAGTTTTTTTTTGCTAGGGTTAACTGCAAAGCGATGCGACCAACTTCGCCTCTCAACAATCTATGAACGATTCAATTTGNGTAGGATCGTAATTGTGTAACTTACGATACAGGGGGGTGCTATATTTTCTTTTTTTGTATGCGATTACAGCAACATTTTGATTAAGTTGTATAAACTTTATTCTTATAATTTGAGAACTTTGTTCCAATTGTCATTACATATTTTTTTATATACCCACGTATATTTACATGTGTATACATGAATGTTTTTCTACGATTACATATAATATAGATACTCTTTCTTCAGTTTCAAATGTGGTTGTTGGTTATTTGTTCTCATTCCTTTCTGTAACTCTAAATTCGGACTTGATTAGGGTGTGGTCAAGTACGTTCGTAAAGGTTTTTATATAAGTCCGTGGCGCCCATTAACATCTTTGAATATTACTTTAAATCCACGCCGTCTCCACTGTCTAAAGGCTGGCTGAGGTAAGTAAACCTTTACGTAACCTTGACATCGTCTGGTGTTTTGTTTGCCCTTTTGCTTGTTTAAAAAGAAGTGCCACAGAATACATAAGCCTGCATTTTTTTATATTTGAGACTTTCATTAATATCTAGTACTGATGATCGTTCTTTTGTAGTAAATATTTTAGTTGTTTAACAAAGAAATACTGTATAATTTTGCAAAAACTTTTAGCTATCGGCATATAATTCGATTTAGTTTGTTCAAATAATTCATAAAAGGATACAACCTATACACTGTCTGGGGATTTGTGGAAAACTAAATTTGCTATTTGGTGATTGAATCGATCAAATACGTGTAGCAATTGATTACACTAAAACGAAATTAAAATTTTTAAGCATCCTGATAGAGATAATAAAACTTCACCATTCTATTTCAAATTGGAAACTGAATATGCTTGAGATTGAAAGAATTGTGAGAATTGTAATAAGCCCTACAATTTCAAAGACGCAAATCAAACAACAAAAGTCGTTAGTTTTGTGAAAAAATAAGAGTTTTAATTGAGTTAAGGTTGAAAAACTTAGGTATGTTTCTAATCATTTCTAAGAAAAGTAGTACTACCGTACCCTAGGTGAGTAATTTTAAAAAATGGCCTGTTTATGCTGTTTAGTCAAGGTAGATCAATCGACTCAATGGTCTGATAAACAATATTTTTAATAAAATGTACACCAAATATCTTTATTTAAGTTCAATACAGTTGCGTCGAAAGTAATGATTGATAAAGTTTAGAAATTTAAAATTTTGTATTGCCACAAGTGCAAGGATCTATTTTATCCGCAACGCTGTTTGGTTCAGCAGGAAATACGTTAGTGTATGAGTTCTTCAGGAAGTTGACGTGGCCTTGTAAATTCCTGATTCTCATTTGAGCATCTTCAAAGTTTTCATTTAAATTATTGATTTGAGCCTGCATCTTCTGCCGGATCTCATCCCTATCTTTCTGTGCCGACCTGGCCTGTGCCCTACTTTGAGCCAATTGCCTTTCCATGTCCGAAATCTGATTTTGCATAGAACGTCTAACCGTTTCGCAACGGTCCTTCGTTCGGGCGACTTGTCGGGCCGCCTCTTCCCTTACGTTATCTACTTCAGCCGAAAGTTGCGCGATCTGGTGCATTTTTTCCTGTGCAACTTTTTCAGCTTCATCTGCCACTTCTTGTAATCTGATTGTTTCAGCGTTTAAACGTTCACATTCTTCTGTTAACTCATTGCATTTCGCTTGTAACTCTTCAACGCGAGCTGCCATATTTAACTTTTCTTCGTCACCTAAACTTGCCATACTCTTGCTAATTTCCATTTCTTTTGCCATTGCAGCAGCCTAAAATTTGCTTACTATAATTTTTATAACTAACTTTGAGACAGTAAATATAACCTTATCTCTATAAGCTTGAAGTTCGCGTACTAAAGCTTCATTATTTCTTTCAGCGAGTAAATGCATTTGTTGCGCTTCTTGTAGTTTCAATTGTGTTGCTTTCAAAATGTCTGGTAAAGGTGTTAATTCTTGCAGCTTTTCTTGGAACTGATTTTTCACACGTTGAATTTCTAAGTTAACCTGTTCACTAATTCTTCCATTTTCCAATTCCATCATGTCTATTTGACGACGTTGTTCTTCAACTTGTTGTTGGGCTTGCAAATACTATTAAGTATAATTAAAACACAAACATTATCAAAATCATTCAAAATTAAATTTAATTTTATTAAAGAAAACCTTGTTACGATAATCTTCTAATTGAGTTTTTTGCTCCTCAACAAGTGCTCTAACTTCTTCCAATTCATCTTTAACTTCTCTATATCTTTGCTTTGCCGTACTTAACTGTTGTTCAAGCTCTGTATGGTCCTCTTTGCCGCTTTTTTTCTGGAAAACGTTTTAAGAAATTAAGATAACTTACACTCTCCCTATATTTCACAACTTACACTCTTGCATTCCTCTTTTAACTCCTTCAATTCCTTATCAACATCTTTAAGTTTCTTTTCTGCATTCTTTCTGGCCTCTTCGTTTTCGGAAGCACTTTTCTTCAATTTATCTACGTCAGTTCGAAGTCCTGCCACCTCAACAAGTTTACCTTTATAATCATCTTGTAGCGTATTGTACTGTTCTCGTAATTCTCGAAGTTGTTGATCAGCAGATATACCAGTCTGGAAAATTTTGTTAAAGATGGTATTAAAGAGAAGTTACATTATTAAGATTTAATCTTTACAGGTCTATTTGGATTGCAAGGTCCTGGACATGTTGGATTCTACAAAAATAAAAAATATATAATTATTAGTACCGAAGATGCAAATGTAGCATCTTGATGGATAACTACCAACGATAGAAAATTTATAAGATTAAAATGGCGGGTAAAAACATATTTTTGACGATTAAGATGTACACCATACAGATGTAGAAAAGTAAATAAAGTAAAGTTAGATCATCCAAAGATAGAAAACTTTTAATGTCAAGGAAATTGTAGTAAAATCATTGAAATCATGAGCAAATTGAAACAAAATAATCTAAATGCTGAGAACAATTGAATAAAACGATCATAATCCTGAAGAAATTCTCAATCCAGTAATGTAGCAAAAATAAGTAAGATAAGTAAGTATATTATCTTTGTTAGATCATGATTTAAAATCCTACTAATGATAACAGTTGGAAAACATAAGAAGAACAGTGATAGTCATCCAATTACATAAGGCGGAAGTAAATTTTAATCTAAAACATGTTTTCAATCTTCGTCATTAGGATAAAATATAACATCAAACTGCTCCACGAAAAATCTTAGTATCAAAAATGTATTCTTAATGATTAAGATGTAGTTATTCACCAAAACACAAAGCACCCCGCCTTATATTTAACAAAAAGAAAAAAAATTGCAAATTTTTACAGCCATAGCATTTGGATTTGGTGGTGCACATGGTGGTTGTGGTCCACACGGTGGTTGCGGTCCGCATGGCGGACAGGGAGGAGCACATAACATCCTTCTGTGTTGTTCCAAGTGCATTCTTTCTTGACGCACCGATAGTAATTCACTCTGCATTTTACGAACTTCATCTTCCATTTCAGCAAGTTGCTTCTCCTATAATCCAATTACAATTTTTTATTATGTATTGTGTATTATCAAAAATAAATATTACCAATTGTTGTGTTGCTTCCATGTCACGATTTTTCGGATCGTAAGGACATGGTCCTTTACCCTTACCGCACGGCATTTTTTTCCCTCTCGACGTGGGCCTTGTGCTGTCCTATTATTGTTAACAATTAAATTTATATAATTTTGAAAATCTGATTTGAAGTGCCATTTCACTTAAAATTTTGATTGTATTCTATATCGATGCGAAAAGTAATGGTTGTCAATATGACGGAAAATATGACAACCGTCAAGAATTGACAACTTAATGTCTAATCGTTAAACTACTTGATATTCTTATAAAAGGTGTTTACAAGATTGCAATAAAACTTACCCCTTTTCCTTCCCTGGGTGCATTTCCTTGAGCCTTTTCCAATTTGTTGTTGAGTATTGTGTTCTCTTTCAAAACCATTCTCATTTCAGCTTGTAAACTGCACAACTTTCGCTGTAAACTCTCCACCGTTTGATCCTGACTGAGAAGGTCAGATTGCAATTGATATCTTCAAGGATAATAATTTAGGAATAATTGCTCAAATTGAATATATCCCTAGCTAATCTAAGTAATTAAAATCAAAATGTCTTACCTTTTTCCTTCTAAGTCTGCGTTTTCAGCCGCTAACTTCTCCTGCATATTGTAACTTTCGCAAAGACGTTGAGCGAAAGTATTTTGCATCATACCCTGAAGAATAGCATTTAATTTTGTGAGTTATATAAAAAACTACTACCTGTTTTTACCTGTTGGCCAGGCATTCCACCTGGTGGACCTGTTGGACAAACACCAGGACCTGGACAAATACCACCTAATGGATTTAACATTGGTTGTTGTCCCATCATTCCTTGACTCATCATCCCTTGTCCCATCATTCCTTGTCCCATCATTGACGGACCTCTCATCATTGGTTGACCCATATCCATTCGATTAGTACAAACTGTTGAAGCTCCCCCACCTCCACCTGGCCTAGAAGGACCAGAAATACTTAACTCTCTTGGGTCCTTGCAGATACAATCTTGATCAATTGGTGGTTCTTGCATCAATGGTTGCATCAGACCAGCTCTCTTTTTCTTTTTCTTATCATCACAGACTATAATTTTCGGCATCGCGTTCTCAGCGATTCCACATAAAATCACTTTTGGAAGTATGTCTTCCGTTTGAGGTTGATCGTATTTTGCTTTCTGACGTGATAAGGTCATCAAGTATTCGACCTTTTTTGTTTTTTGTTCGAGCAACATCATTTTATCATTGAGTTCTTTTTGATTTCGGTCTAATTCATCATCTTCTTCTGGACTTCTTTCCGGTTTCTATTAGTAAAAATTTTATTATAATGAATTGTTGGTGATTCTCCAAATTTATTACTTACACTAAGTAACGCAGTTACTTTCTTTTTTAATTCAACTAAAATCGCAGATATTTCAGTACATTGTGCTTCACATTCTGCAACTTCCCTTAAAATTCCTTTATCATCAATATCTTTTGGCACATCAACATCATCCTCAGCTAATTGCTCGTCCATTTCATCCAACTCTGCTTCAGCTTGATTCACCAACTCTTCTGTTCCTTCGAGAGGATCACCCTGAAGAATCATAATTAAAAATTACATTGAGAAACAAATTCAAGAAAAGGAGACAACAAACCATTTCTTCGCCTCCTTCATCTTCAGCCATTTTTACTTTATTGACGGCGGTTTGTGATGTTACAGGACTTAAAGGAGAATAAAAGGCTTCAGAATCAGTATCTTCGGTACGATTAGTTTTAGAACTTTGGGGTCGAGATGATCTAGCTGATTTAAATGAACCACGAAATTTATCTTTATTGTCACCACTACCAACTGTAGATGCAGATTTACGTCTTTCCTGTAAAATTTGATCAAAAAATAATAATTTTTAAAATTGTAAATGTTAAATTATTTCTTACTGGCTTTAAAGAAAGTAAAGTTTTATTTAACCTGCTGGAAGCTTCAGTTCTAACAGTTACAAACTCAAGATCGTCGTAATTCCTAAGACTTTGTTTGAAGTATAAGTCTGGATCACCGCCTTGATACCAAGATTTGCCGATAAACGAAGAATAGTTGTGTAAAATTCGAGCGCCCTTTTGAAGAAAACTACCACTGCTGGTTGCTCTTGGTTTTTTAGTCGCCCTGTCCCCTGATGATGGTCGTCTTAAATCTGAGTCGGAGTACTTCGACGCAAGAAGCTGTTTGTTCACCGTCGGGGAATTTCGACTCTAAAGTGGAAAAATGTTGAGTGTGTTAGGATGGTGGAAAAGTTCATGTTGTAATAGTACCTTCATACCGATAAAGTGATGTTGGAGTGAGTTTTCGATTGATTAGTATAGGATTTGGGGCTGCTGTGTTGTATGAAGGACGACGGTCGCGATTTCTTCGCGAGAATTGAGGCGAAAACGACACTCTATATCGAGTAGTTGCTAAAAAAATTGTGTATAAAAAATTGTGGTAAAAACTGTCTGTGTCAGAGTGATTAGAAAAAATCATTAAATAAAAACTGACAGTTTTTATAGCTGGGTTCTTGATTTAAAGCAAAAACTGTATACATAATAAAAAAATATAAAAAAATTAATAAAACTAGTTAGTGAATTATAAGTTATAGTGATTTAAAAGTGGTATAGTTACAAATAAAATTCAAGTGGTCGACGTGACATTCTACGATTAATTTGCGCTCAAGGTAATTATAGGCAAATAGGCAATGACGAATAAATTTACGTTATTTAGGCCCACTTTTACCAATAATAAGCGTTTTATATAATAATTATATAATTAAATATGGGTCTTATAAAAGTATGTTATAAGAGATATAAAAAAGTTATTGACAAAACGAGTATTATATACAATCAATGATTAACAAATATCGTTTAATGATAATGACACTTAATGTTTTAAATTCAAGTGTTATTGTATTATTGTATACTCCATTATATTATTACATCTACTATAAAAACTACTTCCTTTTAAATTTTTATCAATAATATAACATAGTAACACTTATTTTATCGTTACAATTTTTACGTTAAACAACACGGTCTAAATGGGAGAGACATTTAACAAAAATTTGTTGACGGCTTAACCCGAGAGTTTTTAGTTGTAGGTCTAGTGTTAGTTCTAGTTTTAGTTTAATTAACACCTTCACAAAAAACTATTAATATAACTTAACTTAAAAATGATAAACTGTGAAAACTTAATTATACTCTCAACTTAATTAAGGAGATTTTGAATGACAAATTAAACAATGAATTAGATTGTAAAAACCTTTTTAAACTATTTCAAATCTGTATGCAACAAAATTTTTGCTTGTTTGATGGAAAGATTTATGTTTACGATAAAGGACTTCCAATGGGATCTCCCCTTAGCGGGATGTTAGCCGACATCTTTTTAAATGAAATTGAGGATAAATATATTCTTAACGATACAAACCCAATTAGAAAAAATATCTTACTCTGGAAACGATATGTCGATGATATTTTCATTATAATTAAGGATAAGAATGATAACACAATTGAAGATTTACACGAATACATTAATTCACTTCACAATGACATAACGTTTACTGTAGAAGTTGAACAAGATAATACTTTAAACTTCCTGGACCTAACATTAAAGAACACCAATAGTGGCTTACAATATCAAATTTATCATAAAGTTACTCAAACAGACATAGTTATCCCATACGATTCACACCACGACCATACCCACAAATTAGCTGCTTTCCGTTCATCTATAGATAGAGCTTTTTCATCATCACTTACACCAGATCAAATACAGATAGAATTATCAATAATTAAACAGATAGCCAACAATAATAGTTTTCCAGACAAAATAATTGAAGATTTGATTAAGAAACAACAAAGCAAAAATCTTATACAAATTTATACTAGCCGAAATCAACAAAACAAGGAACAACCAATTACATATAGATCCATTAACTATCAAGGTAAAGTCTGTAACAAAATTAAGAATATTTTTAAGAAATATGACATCCTCATCTCATGTAAGACGAACAACACTATTGGTCAAATATTAAATAATGGAAAGGACAGAATTGATATACCGAATGATAATGGGGTATACAAACTTGAGTGTGGTACTTGTAAGGCAACTTACATAGGTGAAACGGGGAGAGCCCTTCATACAAGAATAAAAGAACATAAGAACAAGTCATCATCGAATTTTGGCAGACACTTGAACTTTAATACAGAACATCAATTTGATGAGAACATTCATGCTACAATATTACACCGTAAAAATAAAGGCTATATGCTGGAATTATTGGAAAGCTATGAGATTAATAAGTTCAAAAACAACAATCCAAACATCTTGTGTTTAAATGACCAGATTCAACCAGTTTCTAAACCTTTATACTCATACCTCCAAACACCGTACACACTCCCTTCCAAAAAACCCCCAGATAAACGAGGATTTCAGACCATGGTAACAGTCTGAATTTCGCAATGTCTGGGTCCCTTGGTTACCAAAATCCCTTCCCCCCCCTCTCCTTCTTCTCCTCTCTTCTCTACATCTCGGTCATATTCACTATTGTCTACCAAACCCAATCCCCACCATACTACTTAACCATGTTATACTATGTATTCTTTTTCAATATAATAACAACTCAAAGCTACAAAATCACATATTCTACATTGTTAACTGATATCAATGTATACTTCTAATCCAGAAATTGTTCCTGAATTAATTTTGTCTCGAAGGGTTTACTCATGTTCTCGATTTTTATTTGTTTTGTTTTATTAATTGAAAGATTCTTGCTACATATTTTATTGTACAGTACGTCACATATATTTTTTTCTGTAGATTTTGACCTCTTCTGAAAATAATTTGATAATTACCATAGTTTTACCCCAGATAAACGAGGATTTCAGACCAAGGTAACAGTCTGAATATCGCAATATCTGGGTTCCTTGGTTACCACCATCCTTCTTCATCTCCTCTCCCCTACCTCACAATCATTTTCAATTTAACCTCAATAAAACCCAATTCCATACCTACCCTGTTCAATCTTACTACAACATGCATCCCACTAAGATTTGTTATTTACATACAACTGCATAAGTCTTGATATTTTAGATCACCAAACAATATTAACATATAACTCCTGTCCAAACTTTTGTTTATTATTTTGCTAAAAATTTCTGTTTTTCAATGTATTTCTGTAATAATTTTGTATTTGTTGTATTGACGGTTAAAATTTATAATATTTTTACATTTTATGTACAATTCCTCACACGATTTTTACCCTGAAATTTGATTTCATTTTGAAAATGTTTCCGATAGACTTTGATACTGTTTTGTATTCATTTTGTCAATTTGTCAATTTTCAAGAATTCAATTTATATTGTTTGAATAATTAGAGATTTTTTAAATATTGAATTTTTCGCGCCATAGTTCCAGAACGTCAATTGTATATTTTTGTTCAAGTGCTGCCAACAGATTTTTAGTTTAATTTCCAACTTTGCAACTGAAATATAACCTCAAAACACATATTTGCGGGCCTAAAAGTTTTCACAGTTTATCATTTTTAAGTTAAATTATATCATTGTCTTTAAATAGCAATCCTTAGATTAAATAGATTATGTAAGAATAAATTTTATGTAAGAAACTATACGTGACGCTTAAAAAAAAAGATAAAGTTTTTATCCAACGAAATTTCTGTTCTTATTAATTAACCGAATCATTTAATTTTAAATTTGTCGAATACTTAACAAACAAAACAGGAACTGTTGATACATAGATACAGGGTGTATCTGAATGACTGCAACAAACTTCAAGGGGTGATTCTTTAGTGAATTTTAAGGGTACTTTGATATATGAACTATGGGCGACTCACACTCAGCACCAAAGGTGCCTCAAAGATCCGTATTTTCTAATATCTTCAATATAATGCTAGTGTATGCTTAAGTGATGCTCTGGCTTAAATTATTATGTCTAATAATTCCCAAGAGGTCACTCGAGTCTGGGGTCACAAACCAAGGTGGAAAACCAAAACAAAACCAGACTCGAAGGACCCTCACAATTCACATCCCCACCCAACACGGGGTAAACAAAAACTAACCTAACATCGAAATAAACGTTAATACAAACGCGGATATTATGTTTCAATGTTTTTCTGCATTTTACAAAAACCAAAAAACATGTAACTATAACATTTACCTGGTCATTAACCCGTTTTTGCCCAAGTTTTCTTATTTCGAATACAAAGGTTGTTTTACATAATTTTGACAATTTTTATGCATAAGATGTCTAATTATATGCAAAAAAAATATTTATATATAATTTTTGCTAATTTTTGATGTTCCAATTTTGAAACACTGGGAGTGAAAGGGTGCGGTGTTTAAATATTTAATAAACAATAAAATAAAAATTAAAATAACGATATATTAATTTTCTTTAACATCATAACTCTTAAAACAATAATTATGAAGGTTTACAACACATTTCTCGCACATGTTCGTAGCGTTTTTGTGCCAGTGTGCCCAACGATTTAGGCAATCATATCGAATTAGGGCATGAATTCCACAAGCCCCATATCTTGTACCCATATCTAATCTTTTACCTTTGATGAACTGTTTGGCTCCATGTCGATCAAAATAAGGAACCATGCTTTCGTCAATGCACAGTTTTTCATTTAGGACTGCATGTGCTAAGTAACGTTTGTTAAGCATGTCAAAAAGAGGACGCAACAAGAAACAGCATCGGTAAAGTTGTATGTACGAGATTGGCTCGGTGAAACAAATGGCGGCAAAGTTGGAGTCAAATCACATTTCGCCCAATTTCTTTTAGGCGGATGATTATAATTTGTGTTAACTAAACGAGAAAGAGGTAAATCGTCTTCGTCACTAGAATTTTCTGTGTCTTCGACGTCTCCGATGTAAGCGGTGTTATCAAATTGTCTAAATTTTGCAGTCGCAAGCGCTTGTAACTGTCGTTCACTCAAGTGATTTATATCTGAAGGAAGTTCTTCATCGTCACTATCTTTCTCTGAGTTTCTTCCATCATTAGGTGGAGTAATATAAATGTCTGCTTCCCAAAACTCATCACTTTCCACCAAATCAATAAGCTGTTTGGTAGAATAGTACCTAAAGAAAGAGTGCACAATCACTGCCAGTGTTCCGAAATTGGAACATTGCAAAATAACGGCAAATTACCATAATAAACGCATGCAAATTTGGCAAGATCTTTTATAGCAAACATTCAACAGACAATATAGTATGTTTTAGTACAAAAACAATTTGAAATTATTTACAGTAAATTACAAAAAAATACTTACTTCTTTGCAGCCATTTTTGCACTATAAACACCAGCACAGTAAACTCTGTGAGATTTGCAAACGAGTGAATTCTAACAATATAGTACACTTCCCAATAACGTATGAGAGTATGTCGGACAAGATGAGACCTGCAGAATTGGTAGGGTAAAACTGTCGCTGTTCCAATATTGGACAAAAACGGGTTAAACTCTGATGAGTGCAGTCAATAGCACCGATTACTAATTGAAAACAAACAAACTCATAAAATACTATTTGATTACTTCAAATATCATCACCATTATCAGATGTCTTCAAGTTGTGATGCCTAAATTTATATAACTTGACTTATTTAAACAAATAAAAGCACAATGTTTACATCTAAAAGGGCACACGCGAGTCCTCGACCGGCCCAGTGCAGAAGGGCCGGTATTTTAGGCGTCACACAGTTGACCTAGCGTGGTTCACGAACTGTGACGTGTGATGTTAAGATGGTGATGCAAACATACATATAACACAACAGAATTTTGTTGCTATAATTTTTATAAAAAAAAAATAATCATAAAAGAAAACAATAATAATAAAGGTAAGACAAAATGAATATTGTAATGTAACAATTTTTCTATTTTCTTTTTAGTTTAAACCAATAATTGCAAATAAAAAAAAATGTTTAATGTTAGCGAGTAAAACTGAAAGAATATTGCCAAATGAGCAAAATAAAATAAAACTGACCAAATTAATAAAAAAGAAATTAAATTAAATCGCGCCTAGACTGCGTAGAGTTGAGCTCAACGTAAAGTCTGAAATAATTATGAAAATAATATATTGCAAAAGAAAAGAAAACTTAACCTCGCCAACAAAAAGTTATAAAAGATATAAAAATAATGAAGATTAAAAACAAAATGAATCTAAATTACTTTATCTACGACTGCTTGGATAAGTCATCATTACCGCACTCATTTGAGGTGATTTGAGTTACGTAATGAAGTTCATTACTGCACTGGTTTCATTACGTAACGCATTTTTAGCCTAATCAGAACAAACTTAATTTATTGAAGCGAGCAACAATACAAAAGAAAAAGGGCTATCTACTTACAGAGAAACAATATTATTTATTATAAACATTAATTGTTATGTTTTTACATTTCGAAACACTTATTCCAGATGAGTAAACATGTTGTTGAAACTGACAATTCAAAATTGTCAACAATCATTTCAAAATATTTTTATAAATGTCAAAAAGACCCTTTTAAAGAAATTGATTTTTTAGTAATTTTTAGCAGTCGTAGATAAAATGCTGTATATCACACGTGGGCCAGAGCATAATTACAGTACTCGTGTGATTACACGACTCGGTCTACGACCTCGTCGTACAATTATTCTCCACACTCGTACAGTAATTATGTTTCTAGCCCACTTGTAATATAAATAACTATAATGAGTTGCTTTTATTCCTATAATTTAATTGGCTTAATCAGAACCAAAAGTTAATGTACGTTCTCCGACAAAAATAAAATGTGGATGTTATCTAACCTTTAAGGACTTTAGGTTAAGCTCAACTCTACGGAGTCTAAACGCGGTTTTTCATTAATTTTATTTACTATTTTGGTTAATTTTATTTACGTGTTCAGTAAAGTCCAGTTTTTCCCCTTCTCGCTAACATCAATATTTTTTTTCTTGCTTTGCAAACTTTGGATAAAACCTATAAAAAAAATTTGTTTTGGTATATTATCTCAGAAGTACATTAAAAAGTACATTTATTTACTTACCTGTACTATTATCATTTTTTTACGAGTATTTTTTTTAATAAAACTATTGCAACTCATAATTCCCTCAAGGTTAACTGCGTGGCGCCAAAAATAAATAACCACTGGGCCGGTCGAGGACTCGCGGGTATTATTAGGTGTAAACTTATAATTGTTTTGTTTAAATTTTATTTTTGATTTTCCGAGTTTTCTAAACAAATGAGGTTTAGATGTAACTTTAGGCTTAGTAAATGTAAACCCATCATGTTTACAATGTAAGTAAATTACAATTCAACTTTCAGATCCGTAAGTTGGAGGTATTACAGCTTTTGTTTGAATTTACGTCTACACTGTGTGGTAATGTTACTACCGATAAGACCGTGAGCAACCGCTTGTTTTAAATTTCTATAATGGAACAATCTATACCACTAAGATGTATT